GCTGTCTCAGAGTCAACAGTGCAAGGCTGGTTGACGGCAGCTGGCCATGTATCCTGGAAGTTCTCAGATCTTGTGACACTATAACACAACTGACCTTTCTATTTATTGACGGTTCCCGTCCCCATCCCCTCAGCGTGCCCTAGGTTTGTCTAACTTAGATTGTAAGCTTACTGGGGAAGGAACCTCTTTTTTTTAGACCTCTGTACGAGCACCGTGCAAAGCCACGGGGCTGCGGAAATGTTTAATAATAATAATAATTAATAATAATAAAAACCTAACGAGGAGTCATCTCACAGCACCTCCATGGCCGTGCCGATCGACACCTGAGCCTACGGTCCACAGACCGGAATTGGGGCCGGCCCGTCGATGGATCCTTGGTGGGTTTGAGTACCTGGTTTCTACGGTGTCTGTTGCTGATATGCAATCCAGGGATGGGTAGCCATGTTCCTTCATTGGATCACGAGCCGGGACTGAACCTACCTGGAACTAGATCAGTGCTGGAGGCCCCATTTCCCCATTCACCACCCCCTTGAGCCAGCCAGTCCCCTGCCCTGGGGTGGGATCGGAGCCAGCGCCCCCTAGAGGGGAAAGGCCCTGTGCCCCATTCCCCACCCTGGGTAGCTGCTATAACCAGAGGCATTTCTGCCTTGACCCGAAGGTGACCAGTCCAGCAGAGGGTCAGGGGTGCGATGGGGTTGTCCTCGTGCCCTGTGGCCAGGAGGGGGCAGTGCAGACTCACCCATAGCCCCGGAGCACTAGGCTAATACCCTGCGCGGTTCATGATGGACTCCCCTCCCATGGCCGGAGAGGTGACTCCAGAAGAGCTGGGAGCCAAGGCTCCTTCTAGCCCAGCGCTGGGAGGGGATTGGTTTGAGGGCATGTCTGTGAGGCAGGCTAATTTATTAATACAGCAGGGACAGAGAGGCACAGAAAGAACCCAGGCATCCAGATTCCCTGCTCTAACCCACTAGACCCCACTCCCCTCCCAGAGCCGGGGAGAGAACCCCGGAGTCCTGGCTCCCAGCCCCCTAAGTAGTTAGTTCACTGAGTGAAATGGAAAGCAGAAGCTGGATAACAGGCTCCCAGGTGGGTCGGGTCAGGAGGAAACGGAAGTGATAGAGGCAGACTAACGGCCTTCCAGTCTGCCTACCAGGTGCTTTCCCACCCGGTGCCCAGCTGGCATCTCGGACACCTGCTTCCATCCGCCATCTGGGGCTGGATTCCTGGAAAGAATAAACCTTGACCTGTTCCAGTTAGACCAGTTCCACCAGACGGCTTCCCTGCCCAAATGCGCCCCCTAAGGGCAAAGGCCTTGGATCCCATTCCACTCCCCCCACCACCAGTTCCCTGACCTAGGGCTGGATAGGAGCCGGCGTTCCCTACAGGGGAAAGGCCCCGTGTCCCATTCCCCATCCCGCTGAGCCAGCCAACCCCTTGCCCTGGGGCCAGATCGGAGCCAGCGCCCCCTAGAGGGGAAAGACCCCATGTCCCATTCTTCCCCCTGCCCCGCAGATTCTCTTCCCAGGATCTTGGTCTCTTCGTTGTGTTTCAATTCCACATCAAGGCAGATTTACAAAAAGGAAATTATCTAGAATAAATAAAGGCGAAGGGCAAGGGACGGGGAACGTGAGGGGACTCTTAGCAAGTGCTAAATTCCAGGCAGAGAGGAAGGGAGCCAGGTGGCCGGGTGTTAGCAGGGCTGTATTGTTTGATTAGACCCCGTCATAAAACACTTTATGATTTCCGGCTAGACACTGGGAGAGTCTCTCTTTCCTCTCGTTGACCATCTCAACCCTCCCGACTGGCCTGTTTGTAGGTGACGCGCGTTCTGTCGACTCTCCGACCCCGCCAGAAATTGTAGCAGCTGTGGGCAAAACTTGGGCGGAGTGTTGTGTTTGGTATTGGGCATGGAACCTAGGAGTCCTGACTCCCAGCTCTGACTGCTAGACCCCACTCCCCAGCCAGAGATCAAACCCAGCAGTCCCGAGTCCCGCCCCCTCTGTTCTAACCACTAGACCCCACTCCCCTACTGGAGCCAGAGATGGAACCCAGGAGTCCTGACACCCAGCCCCCCCACTCTGACCCACTAGCCCCCACTCCCCACACAGAGCTGGGGAGAGAACCCAGGAGTCCTGGCTCCCAGCCCCTCCTGCTTTCAGCTGCCACAACTTCCCCATCCGTGTCGAAGGGAAGGAAATAATTCTGTATTTGATGTCAGCGGGGGGTCTGTGACAGCATATGGGGAAGACTGGAAAGAGACCAATATGCAAATAAGAGGGCAAGACCAGGATGCCTTGGAGCTTTCGATCCTGGGCCTGGGAGTGTCCTCACATGCCAAAGCTGACTGGAAATCATCCACCCGGTCAGAGGAAACCGCTGGGCCTGGGGTGGTGAAGGATTTACCCCCCTGAGCCGTCACAGACAGACACGTGACTCATTTCCTCTCCTCACCATGAGCAAACAATTGTGGGTTTGTGTTAGGGGCAGAGGGAGGGTCTAGGGCTGGGATAACAGGGGAGCTGCAGGTTGAGAGACACTGGCAGAGGTGGGGAGGGGATGAGGTGTAGATGAGATGAGATGAGGTGAGGACCCCAACACTGGGGTAAGAGGGGGCTACAGGTCAGGAGGTCTGTATCTGTGTGAGAAGAATAGAACAGGTGCTAGAGATAAAATATCTCATATATAAAGCTGACTCTTGGGTTTCTTATTTGTTCTGCTGGTGCCTCTCAATCCTGTTGGGGTGTGGAAGGGGGTTGGGGTGCGGGGTGCAGGCTCCGGCCAGGTGGCACTTACCTGGAGCGGCTCTGGGGTGGCAGTGGCCGGCACCACATCCCTGTGGTCCCTGGGGGGAAGGAGGGGCAGAGGGCTCTGTGCGCTGCCCTCGCCTGTGGGTACCTCCCCCAAAGCTCCCATTGGCTGTGGTTCCTTGTTCTCGGCCAATGGGAGCTGTGGGGGTGGCGTCTGTAGGCGAGGGCAGCGCATGGTGCCCTCTGTCCTCCCTCCCCCCAGGGTCCGCAGGGACATGGTGCTGGCCGCTTCCGGGAGCAGCGCGGGACCCGCGGTGCCACAGGGGTGTAAAGTTTGCCCACTCCTGTACTAGGCCCTACTCTACTCCCAAAGCCAGGAATAGAACCCAGGAGTCCTGGCTCCCAGCCCCCTGTTCTAACCCACTAGCCCCCACCCCCCCCCCAGAGCCCGGGCTAGAACCCAGGAATCCTGGCTCCCAGCCCTCCCCCCCCCCGCTCTAACCACTAGCTCCCACTCCCCTCCCAGACCCAGGGATAGAACCCAGGAGTCTGGGCTCCCACCCCTCTCCTCTGCTGGATTCTTTCCTGTCCCCCAGGTTGCTTTGTGGCTGGAAACCTGATCTGGCGAGGACGTGCAGAGACGCCAGTCGCCGTCGGCTGGCACGGCCCGGGCACCTATTATGTCTGTCACAATGGGACCCCTCCCTGCCCCCTTCCTCATTCCCCCCCCCCACTCTCACCGCTTCTCATCCCACTTTTCTTCCCTGAGGGCAGGGTCCTGGCCTCCGGTGCCCCCTTGTGGGTGGGTCGAGCCCTCCACTTGCATCTGCCCCAGGGGCCCCGTGCTCATGGCTGGCCGAGGGGGCTGTGGGGCCTGGGGCGATCTGGGGGAGGGGCATATAGGGATGGGAGGAGGAGGGGGAATGGGCGGACTGAAGAAGGTGGATTGGCGGAGTGGGGCTGGGGATGGAAAGCCATGACCGGGGACGGGACAGAGAAGGAGGAAGAATCTGCAGGGTTAGCTCCCCCCCCCTTCCCAACCACATGTGGCTTTGGGACTTTCAGGCTGGGGTGTGGCCACCCCCCAGACACAGGCTCACTTTCCCATTCCTTCATTCCTTCCTTCCCTCGCACGAAGCATTGTGCAATCCCAACCCACACACCTGCCCCCCCCGACTCCCTGCCCCATGGCACACCCTCCCCATTCCCCTCTCCCTTCCTGGAAACAGAGTCCAGAAAACCCAGGTGCCTTCCCCGCCCGCTCCTGGCAGAAGGTGTCGTGAGGAGGGAGGGGGACAGGGCCCGACCTGCCTATAAAGCAGCCACATCCCCTAGGGCTCAGGTAGCAGAAGGAACCTGGCCCAAGAGGAGCCCCTGGGAAGCTCCCAGCCGAGACAGAGAATTCAGTGGGGCGGGTGCTGGGATCAGCCACTAGGGGGCAAGAAGAGGAGGTGCCGGGATTGGCCACTAAGGGGCGACAGGAGGCAGTGCCGGGATTAGCCACTAGGGGGCAAGAAGAGGCGGTGCCCGGATCAGCCACTAGGAGGCGACAGGAAAATAATTTGGAGGCCACACCCCGATTGGCACCCTCTGCA